ACATATTATTATCATCACTATTATTGATCCATGGGAATTTATTAAGCAACGGACCGGAAGGCAAAATGCCTTTGTCGCAGGGGATGTTTTCCTCATCTCTCTCCTCGCCAAATTGACTCTGGGACACAAATAACATGTATACGTTCCTGGCTCTCGGCTATCCATGACTAAAGTTATTGTTGGTTTTACTCAGTTCCTTCAGTAAATTCTGGCTTAATCAATTAAAACCGACCACGACCTCTTCCTTTCCAGTCTATCAAATAATCACACACTCATTCGAGGTGTATATAAATTGAAATAGCGTCGTTTGATACACCAGAAAGCAAATTAATCTTGGAAATATAACGCAACAACATGTCGCTAAGAATATTATTTGGCTTCGCTCGTTCGTCGGAACAAGATAGTGAGTCAATAAACACGGGTAGAAAATGTTTAATTAAGTTGCATGCTCTATTTCGACCCGTTACTTTCGACTGAAAACATTACACCTCACGTTTTATATACGTGAATTATAGACCTCTGTTACAATCCGTGTATCTGCCCATGGTCAAGAAATTGGATTTGCGGAATTATAATTTAAAATCGAAACCGAAGGTGGATTAATATTATTCATATTTCCTGTGTGATTTCTTAATGAGGTGGTTCGAATTATGTGCCCTTAAATTAGCTGTAGAAATGCGTGGAATGGAACGCTGCGGTTATGACTGGCGTCCAGTATTCTTACCCACCCACATCTTTCGACTGGAGACACTGAAGAAGTATATGAAAAACCTCAGTTATTTATCAGATGCCCTGTGCAAGATTTAAACTGGGTACCTCTTGAACACAAATCTAGAGATTAACCGCCACACCGATCAGGCAGTTGAGTTTCATTTTCAGATGTGTGGTGAAACACAACGCTATAAAGCCTTAATAGCAGAAACGTCACGCCATAACTGAGTCCGGGAAATCCCACGGCCCCATTTGGCTACTTCCATTATCATAATGATGATAGCGTGAACAATGGATCGCTGAACGCAGACGAGCAAGCCTGTAAGAGCAAAGAATGAGTGAGCAGTTACAAAGGCACAGATGAACGCAATACGTTAAACTACGAACGTTGGTGGAATATATGAATATATAGTTTGTAACATTAAAAACGCAACCCAACTACAATCACGTTTTACGACACTAAAATAAAATCAGAAGGAGGCCCAGCCCTGTGAAAAATTCTCCCAACCTTCACCGTCACACTGAAGTAAACGTCACCGTTCTTGCTAGGCCGCAGCTCACTTCAGTTGCGCGAAAGTAATGCATGTACGAGCAGAACTTATGTTTGTCCTCGAATATTACTCATAATCAAAATCGTTTGCTGCTATTCGTGAAGAATGTAGCAATGGGTATACTGACAAGAAAGTACCAAATGAGACAAAATGGAAGGCCGCTCACTTAATAAAAATTTTACACTTCTTTTATGGAACCCGTGTTTACTTACGCTACACCGAGTCAGGTCATCAAGAAGAAGCTCTTTTTTTGTAGTCACGGTTTTTTTAACATTACAGATTTGGATTGGACAGAAAAGTCTCTGCAACCAAATTCTGGAACAGCGCTGTACCTTAAAATTCATCACTGCCACTTCCAACCCTTTCCAGTTCATAATTAACAGTTTTCCTGTCATTCGAAACTAAATAACTCACACAGTTTAAGAGACAATGAATTAGTTAGCGAATCGAGAGGCGATGAAAGAGACCTTTCCAGTTAATACAGATTTTGTCTGTGTCTGCTGACGAAGTTTCTTGAATAATGTATCCCTCTTTACTTGACTGGCATCGTTTCGTGGAGGTTGAATTTATTTACATCAAAGTGATTGAGTGGTACAAGTAAAATGGCGAATAGTTAAAGTAATTTTATGTTAATAACACACAGATGGAAACATCTGTCTCGATTTTAAGGCGTCCATGAATGAGAAAGCAAATTGTTGTTTTAGAAGTCAGTGCCAACACTGCCTAGTTTATTTGATCTAGCTTTGTCCAATGGGGCGCGAAGTTAATTTACACAGATCAATGGAAGCAGTTGGCCGTCAACAGTTACACTGTTTATTCCAGCAGACGGCCGGTCTTCAGTGATGCCTAATCAAAATAAACAAGTAGTTTCCATAGCTCAGCGATTGACAACAGCCAGGCGGTCCTGCCAGCAACCACCCTTCTCCCATCATCCCGCCATCTTGGAACAGGTGTAGCTTCTCCTAATGTTCTCGATGGAGAAATAAGACTATGAAACGCGAAGCTTAGACTAGCAGGAAGTCTGTATCGTCAGTGGTGTTACAAGGTTTCTGCAGGATATGCAGTGAAAGTACGCACCTGTCATTAGTGGCTGTGAGAGGTACAAAGACGCCCATTTTAGTATTTATTAGCTAATAAGATGGCATCATATACGCAACGGTACTAACAAGACTATTGATGTATAGACACGTAATTCTGTCTTAGTCTTCCTAGTGTTTTTACAACATAGTCTAAAGCTCTTAGCAGAGAGATAATATCTGTCAAAGTTAATCCAACTGATCGTCTATTTCAGCCTTAGAAAGCAGTGTAATTAGGCAGTTTGCTTAATACTCTCCACGTGCCAAATGCATCTTCCCAGTTGGTGGAGCTTTGTTAGCATAAGGCATGTAAAATTATTGTAAGTTATAATTTTTTTAATGGTGTGTTTTGGAAATAATTATGGATGCTTCACGTCTAGCATGCATAAGCCTACATCGAACCCACATGTCATCTTAAAACGGTATTGCTTAATTAAACTTTCAAAAGCTGTCTCTTTTAAGTTTAATATTAAAACTGCCATGAATGTGAATTCTTAACTAAGTGATCTATTTCGTCAGATTGGAGACAGGGTTCGTCACGAACGGGTAAAACGACAGTGCGACACTGTTGGTAACTTTGCTACTAAATCCGACGTCTCGTGACTTAAAAGAGGAAACTGACAGAAGTCTTGAAATTGTGTCGATTTTCCATTTCCACTGATCATACGATTAACAATCTAGAATGAAAATTAAATATCCTATTTACTGATGCACTTTTCTTTCAACATGTTTTCAATAAAACTTACTTCAGTCATCACCCTCCATTTTTTCTTCCAATATCATAATTTATGTGTGTTTATTATAATATTATTACCAAACTGTTAACTGGTGCGTGTATTTCTTCAATAGAAATAACATACTATTGGATGCTAATATTCCGTGCCAATGTCGACAAATATAATGACGAATCAGGTATATCAGCAAGTAACCAGGAGTTAAAACGCAGGATCTGTGTCTCGAGTTGAATGAACAGTGTGAATATGCATTCTTCTTTTGAAGAATTTTTGATTCTAGTATAGATTTTGTCTGCTACAATATATCAAGGTTCGTGTAAGCGTAACTTAACAAATTTTTAAACGTTATAGTCTCGCGTTTAATGTACGCAAGCCTTCCTTCTCAGTGCACCGTATAACTAAACCAAGATTCTGATATTCGTATTTTGTTTAAAGGTTGAAACATTAATTTGAGTGATCGTGAGATGGTGAAGCGAGTGGGAAATCGTGTAGCCCTGTCAGATGTACTTCGCCGCGAACAGCTGCTGCACTTCCAAGTAATATCTTCCATGCATCGACCTGAAATGTAATAAAGTTGTGCGTCTATGAAGATCCCTTCTTCTCGAATGAACTTGTAAACTTTGCACTTTTTGTTCCTAGATCTAATTTTAAAAAATAAACAGAGGTGGAACAGATCGTGTATAAGGGATCATAAGCATTATAGGCCTGCACGTTTAAATAGAACTCAATGAAATTTCTTGCAAGCAACTCATCGCACTGAAGACGAAAACAAATGCTCCAATGCATTTTATTTTATTAACAATAAACATTGTAGCTTATATGTGAAACGTTTGTCGATTCTGTGTAAATTAATGACAAATTTCATTTACGTCTTTAAGACTAGTGTCGATTCCGATTAGCCGATTTCTGTCAATCCGTAACCTGTCAGTAACATTCTAACTTCACCTCCGATATCAAAGTTCACTATAATATGACAAAGTGTGCGAGAGGCGAAACTTTTGATAATATGGCCCTCTTGACTGTTCGCTTTTCTTAAATAACGCTTAAAACGTCCAAGAGCATTTTATTTAATAGTCGGAGGATAGAGACATTTATTTTGTACCTTAGGTGAAGCTGTAGCAGAGTAAGTTCGTTCTCACAGCGGATATTTTCGTCTCAGAATGCACGCTTTGTCTCTGGAAGATCAGAGCTGAGTAATTCGAGTTATTTTCGTAAAGCGAGATGCCTCGCTGCCATCATGACACCATAACACGAGACAGACGTAGGACATGGTCTGGCAATATTAAAAAATGTACACGTCCAAGAAGCATAAGCTATTTCCTATTTTGAAGGTTAACCCGTACAAATTACGGACGTTTTATGTGAATATTCGTAAAAATTCCGCCGGTTTTGTAGGTTCGAATGAGGTGAGAAGACAGTCATGGGGAAGGAAAATTGATAGTATGTAGGCAATGAGAGTCCATTTTAAGGGACTGTCCCTGAAACCACTTGGAAAGCTTGTTCAAAACCAAGAAGAACCTGAGTAACATGCCAGGGTCCTGTTAAGAGATGGCAACCCCTGCAAACCCAGACACCACTCAGACGCTGAGCGAACGTGTTGCGTCATAAATTATCAACAACAGTGACATATGTAACATTTAACCGTCATCAGAAGCTGAAATAACTGAGCCATTAGTCTGCTATCAGGTTTCGTCTGCCATCAGAGACAAACTTTGCTGTGGTGCCACTCAGCCTCGTGGCTAATTTTCTTGACTGCCCTTTGTGTATAAATCACACAGTCCCTTTAAATACACAGTATGTCATCAGCCTTGTGAGATTTAAAAATGCAACTCCCAAAATTTAAACCTTAGAGATGTTAGTTAATTATTCTCTTCCTGTAGGACTATCTGGGAAGTAATTTTATAAATATGGATATGAATTGTTTTCAGGCGTGTGACAAGAGGTATCTTTCTCCGTCCCGGATGTTACAGCCACAAACAAATGCAAACAGAGATCTGCTGACATCACACACATATCCATTTTCCTCTCAGCTCCAAGAAGATCACTGCTTCAATGGGGCAAATAGTAGACTAGTACTGTTGTCTGCACCAATAGAATGGTCATATTGGCAACTCTGCTCTTCCTTCATGGAGCAGGCTTGGTTGGTATGTTGTCACAGTCAATAACAGCTGACTGCTTGATTTAGTAGAATGTTGATGTCTTCCAGAACATCACATTTGCCATAAGTAACTTTTTAATTTTTTTAGGCATGTTTGATTGATTTAACAGTCTCATCTCAGTCTTAAAGAGTAGTGTTAACTCATATTGGTCTTAGAAGTGACAGAGAATTAAAAAGTACAGAGCATATGTATCCTTCAGTGCCATGACATTCATACAGGGTCTAAGGAAAATCCATCAGTGTGTAAGTAATTTATTTTGAGGGGATGGAGACATATAATGTCATGTGGGTGGGTTTGGGCACACATACATAATAAGGTTTGTAAATCCCAGTATGATCAACATTGCCTGCATTTGTTACAATGAGTAAATTTTAAAATAATAAAATGTTTTTGTAACAAACTAAGATTCACTTCCAAAAAGTATCTATGCTGTACATTTATTATGTCAGATTCCTAATATATGTATACCCAGCAGTGATTTGTGTATGAACAAGAACTCAACACTTCAGGGTGTGTGTCAAAATACTAACTTTCCCTGTCAGGAATCTATCCCTGTTGTGCAAGAAAATGACATGAAGAGGTTGTGCTTTATTTTTTCCATTGATAAATATGTGATCTTAATCTTGAGACGTACATATTGCAATAATAAGCACAAAATTTACCAGTTTCTCAGAGAATGAAAGTTCCATTTGCATATTAGAACAATGCTATTGTAAGCTTCTAAGTGTTTCATTTTTATGATGATTGATAGGGTCGATGCCAGGAACAGGTGCCCCTGAGAACATCACCATTGTGTTCCTGAGCCCAAACTCTGTCAAGGTGTCATGGGCAACAACCATGGATAATGTAGAAAAATATGATGTCAATTACAAACCTACAAATGCCAGGTATGTGTGAGTTTACACAAGAAAAGTTGCCACCTCATCATATACCCTCTTACTGTACAGTACCAACTTTAGCTTTGTTTTCTTCTTTACTCCTCCATTTCTTTCCTCCCACACTCACTTCTTTTGTCATTTCTTCCTAAATTATTTTCTCAGATTTGGAGAAGTATGCAATTTGGTAATAGCAGAACTACATACATGCTTTCATGAAACTGTGATATGAATTCCATAAAGTATTCTGCTTTAATTTTGTCAATATGAAACATCAAAAGTATTGTTCTAGTAACATGTACTGAAAATATTTGCAATGATATAGTTTAATTTTCAGTATTTGACGGAAAATAACTTCAGAGTACTTGTCACAATTATTTACAGTTCAAATCACTGTTTTGGAAATATTTTCATTGATATTAAAAAAATATGCAACTTTTAGTAAAACATACTTGGCCTGAAAACATAACTTTTATTTGTTTAAATTTCTTGAAAATTTCAGAAGTGAAATAAATATGTATGATTTTAATATGTTAAGATAAAGTTCCTTTCACATAGCACAAATTGGATGTGTTTCTGATATACTTCCTAATTTGCCACTACAAGGTACACAAATTCCATCAGTTAAGTTAATTTTATACTGTAATTGTCATCATCTGAAAAATGGTTTATTATATAAAAAAATGTTTATCCCTTAAAATGTTTATTATGTTATTTATTTGAAATTATTTATTTATTGAGTATTTAGTGAACCTTTTTTGGAATGAATATTGTAAAGATAGATGGGTGAATGAATGGATGATATGATCAGATGAGTCAAACAAAGTTTTGAAGGTAATGTGAATTCCTATTATTATTAACTGTACCCAAACAGATAAGACCTTTACTGTATATATTCATGATTATATTATATGATAATATTATCATGTTGTATTATAATGATGGGCACATAATTTTTTGTATATTTGTATGCATCAGCTTTTGTTTAATATTGGTCTAACACTTTATCTTCTGTTGAACTGGAAAATATTTGGACATAAGAGGGAAAACATAATAGAAGTATGGAGAAAATTTCATAATGATGATATCTCATAATTTGTACTATAGAACTGGTTAGTAGTAGCAGTATAGAGGGTGCTGAGTTGACAGAGCAACTGGTTAGTTACAGAACATCAGATGTGGTTGCTGGAAATTCCAACTTCATCACTCTCAGAAACTTAGAACCAAGCACACAGTATCAAGTTACAGTGGTTGCTGTCAAGGGAGGCAAGAGGTACCGCAGCAGACCAACTATATTCCTTACAATGGGTAAGACTCATTTCAGAAATATCCACATGTTATTACATTATGTTATTATTATGTTGCTTTTATTAGAAATTTAAAATTACAGTAAATCAACCAATAAAATAAAACCTAATAAGGTAAATGGTACAGTTATGTCAGTTAAACATTAAATAAAAAACATAGCATCAATGATATGGAAATTTATACAGTTAGCATTTTTCATCAGATTTGCATCTAACTATGTTTTAAATTAAAGCATGCTTAAGTATGTAAAATTTATACTTCAAACATGTAATCTCATCTCTTAAAAATATTATAAATCACAAAAACTTATTTTGGTTTTATTATTAAATAGTAACAAACACTATCCTGTTAAGTTAATACAATAAAAAAAACATAACTGATAATAAATGATTTGATTTTGTGCCATTAGATCATTGTTTTGTTGTATATTTCAGTTTCCTTTCTACTATGGTTTTATCAGTTTCACAAATGAGCAATTGTGATATGTCTCACTGCGGAGTGCTCCTTCAATTCGGATATTAAAATGTTATTATATTCATTATTAAATGTATTTGATACTTTACAGAACCTCCTGAACCTCCAAATACCTCTGCACAGCGTCACCCAGACTCAATCATTACAGGGGTACCCACTACAATTCCGTCAAACAGTGAAGAGATACCCAGTTCAAAAAACCCACAGCAGAACATTGAAGTGCGGGGCGTGGAGGTGGGTATTGTCCTGCTGGTTCTAGTGGTCTGGATAGCAGCCATTGCACTCTTCTTCAACCGCTGGGGAAAGATTCGCATGCTTCTACCATATCAGCCTGACTACAAAGAGCAGCTGAAGGTGCCAGGCTCTGGTGCATGTGCTGTGGCAGCAGGGGGTCCTTGCCCTGGCCAACAGCATGGTTCAAACCAGGGTTGCCCCCAGGTATGTACATCCAAACTGGTTCATGAGGCAGGAAATTTGGACGCAAGCATGTGTGGACGTCATGGAAGAGAGATTGTATCTCTGTAATATTTGGTCAGTACATAACTACTACATGTACACATATTAAGTACAGTAAAGTGCCTTTGTACTACTATTATGGATTTCATGTAGAGTTCTGAATAACAGTACACACCTTATCTGGCAGTCCCTTAAACTGTATCTCAGTATTGTGCAGGACTTCACATATATAATATAAAACTACAAGTCACCTAAAAATCTTTTTGTCCAAAATTTGTTCATACACACAAATATGTTGAAGAAGATAATAAAGTACTTAATATTGAACATCAGTTATTAAAATCTAAGGGGAAAAAAATACATTCTTTAATATTCTGTCTGCACCATATGCATGATAATAAATATTTTGTTTATTAAATACATTTAGATCAAAGTTAAAATGTATTTGCCAGTGGTTTCAATTATGAAACCATAGAAAGTGGCTGAGCATATTTCTGGAGCCCTCTTGTCACATGTGATTAATATCCTCCAAATTGCATAATTATATGGCATTCGGAACAAGGAAACACATAAACATGGAGTCATGCTATTATTGTAATATAAATTCCCTTAATAAAATACCTTGTAATTACAATATTTTGTCAAAGTCAATTAATTAAATTACTTAAAGTGAAGTAGCGATAAGTGTATCATATGAGTCTAATGTAATAGTTCTTGAGACACTCTTATTTTGCACACACTCTGAACTGATCCTACTTGTAAATAATTCTACTATACAAGGTTGTGATATGGTCATAGTTACTCAGCCAGTGAAGAATTTCCCTAGTTTTAAGGAACCCAAAAATTAATTTAAGTTTTAACTCAATAAAAATGATACAGTCACTGACTGATGCAAGGGTTCAATTCCACAAATCCTTATTTAAGCCAAATTATATGTATGTTGGAAAGTGTCATGAACATATGTGATATTATAATGTTAACATTGAAATGTACCTAAAATACCTAAATTCATGGTCATTCTGTGTTTAAGAAATTGTTGCATAAAGAAATAATTTCTTTCAAAAATAATGCAGATTGTTAAAAATAATTTTTGCATATAGCTGGATTTATAGAAGTCAAGAATTACATAATATAGTGGGTCTATGTTGTACTGATGTGAAAGATCTCTCTTTGATGAACTTCTATCCCAGTGTCTTGTGTTTAAAAGCTTTTTGCTGAATTTCCTGTCTCTATAAACAGCATAAACTGACAATTTTCTTCTAGTCATTCATATTCTTTCAGCATTTATTGACAATTGTTATGCTGCTTCTAATTTCTTTCACTTGGTATGAGAAGTTTTCTTGGGTATGTGATTTTCTGCCCTTTTCCAAGCCAGTATTGATTTGCTCTGAGTTCTGACATAATGCATTTTGACATTTATATACTAATACAACTTTTCACCACAGCTTTACACACTGACATTTGTTTAACTAACATTTTACAAAAACTATAAACAGTTTTCATTAACTTTAACAAAGATTTAAAGTCAGTTAATGATTCTGAATGTTTTAGCAATACAAACGGATTCCACGTGGTAACTGCCCGGTAATGATGGTTTGCAAGGATGGTGAATATATTGATTGAACAATCAGTTGTCCACTTCATGACAATGGCTAAATTGGTGAGCGTGACAGAAAGGCCCCCCATACTATGTTGTACATATATACTGTCGGTTAATTGGCGCTGCTTTCGTAGTAGCTGTGCTCAGCACTAGTGAAGTAGACCAGTAGCACAATATTAGCTTTTCGTTATCCTGCCTACACTCAGGGGAAAATTAAAAGTTCATTGATTATTGCTGATCATCATCCATCACCAGCAACACATTCACAGAATGTACTCAAAGTGTATTTCATTAGACTAAACATTTATCATTGGTGCTTTGTAGTACAGCATTAGACTATATTAGGTGTACAAAATGTTTGGTTTCAGAAGACAGTTTTGTACCAAATATGATCTATCTTCATGCTCATTTTTGCTTTTAATGAGTCACTATCAAACTATGACAAAACAAGAATTATGCTTAGAAAGTATTTATTTTGTTAAGAGTCATGGAATGGGAAATTGCTGAAAGTATTTATTGTTTTTATGAAGGGGTTCAAGGAAACTCATTTCAAAGAACATGCTTGGTGCATCTTGGCAGGCAAACATTTCTGTGTTTATATTCACCAATTTGATTTCTCTATTGTTATTGTAAGTTTAAGAACATATTAGAAAATGAATGTATAGTGTAATAATTCTGGCATGTTCACTCTGTTATTGCCTCTAGATCTTTAGTTTGTGAATGCCAACTTTTGATACTCTCTTAAAGTTTATCCGGTCATGTTAACCATTATTGATTTATAATTGAACTATTATAAATTTAACTGTAACTAGTAAGTGCTCCAAAAAGAGTACAAAAAGATACAGGAGGGAAGCACAAAACAGAATTAGTTACCAGATATAGCCTATAGAATAGTGTATGTATGTGATTTTAGTTTTCTGGTGGTAGACTAATTCCAGGTTGATACTTAATGTCAGAAGAAAGGCAGACACATTTACTAAGAAACGGAGACACTGGTTTTGTATAGAAACAGGGAAATTGTATTCTGAAAGTGTTTATAATTTATGAGGGTGGAAAAGAATGTTCTTTTAGTTTCCCCATTGAAAATCAGCACATTTCATATGTAGATGTTGACATTGGTAGTGATAATAATGAGATAAGTATGGTTGGTGGAACTGTGGTGACGGTATGAGAGTCAGAAAAAATGTTTAAGAGCATGGAGAAATAGTATTAGACAGAAACTAGGTGGAGTGGGAAAGGAATTAGTATTTAGATGATTCAAAATTCCTAAGCATCTGTAAGAGAGAACAAATATATTTCTCATGGTGAATTTACTAAACAGTTACAATTGGCCAAGGTCATACAGTCACATAACACACACAGGTCTCGTGAACTACCTAGAGTGTGTGTGTTTGCACACTCACACACACACAGGGGCTTTTAAATCACTTCCACCACTCATTGTTCTTACAGGTGTACAAAGACTATTTAATCATCTTATAGATTACCTGGTCCACAAGTCTTCTTTTTATAAAGCTGATTCCACTTATTCTGCCTTCCCAAGGACATTTTCTATTGTATTTGCCATCACACAATTTCTCTTACCTTTATATTTACCTTTCCCAATCATTCCACTTCATTCTTGGTCTTCAGTAGTTTGCCATGATTTGTGTTTTGGAAAATTTCCTTTGAAGTTACTGTCCATTTATTTAACAAGCTGGAACTATTCTGATCTTTATATCTGCCATAATTCTTTAAACTACATTAAAGACCTGAATCCAATCCTTTCTTTTACTCTGTCTTCTTATTCAATATACTCTTTTCTGTCCTCTCATATCAGCAGCCTTGATTAGATGTTATGATGACAGCCAGAGAAGAGAAATGAAGGTATTGTTCCTGGGTTTGATGTGGAGAGAAATAAGGATGAGAAAATGGATGAGGTAAATTGAATAGGATAGTGACAGGCGAGACACTTGTGGCAGGATGTTAGAACCAAGGAGATGAATGAGGGAAATGTTATCAATAAATCTGGGTCACTGACTAGGTGCTCTGACATTTGAAGTAAAACCGTCCTCTTCAAATTAACTTTTGACATGTAAATGGGCCATACAAATTTTCATGCCTCTGACTATGACTTCAAAAAAATTTATAATTAGGACAAGGGCTGTTAGGTAAGTGAGGACCTGAGACAAAAGTTGATTAAACAGTTTCTCTGGAATGACAGAAACTATGCTGGGTATGTGGCTAGGCTGGCAGCAGCATGAAATACATAGAGAATTTACATGGGAAGCTTCTTGAAAAATGCCCACTTGGAAGTCTGAAAGAAAACAGGAAAGCAATGTGAAGGTAAATTGCATGGAGATAGATGTATATTCCAAAATTCTGCAAGATGTACTCAAAAGTAGGGGCTTAGTTTATTCCTGTGAATATGATCAAGATGATGACAAAACATATTTTTAAGATGGATGATTTTGATGAATTTGGAATTAATTTGCAATGATCTGGTAGGACAGATTTTGTTGTAAGATGATAATCACTAGACCCTTTGACTCTGTAATATAGTCAGAAACTGACTGAAAACATTTTAAGGACTAGTGTTTAGGTAATGTTTCAGAAAAAATACTAATACATCAGGTAATTTTTCTTTTTAAGGCACATGTGCGGGTGCGCATGCGCACACAGACACAATAATCTTCAGACCCGACATAATTTTCAAGTGTTGGTATGCTGTGTTACACAAATACAATGCCACACTAAATATGCAACATTCTGTAGAAGCAGTTTACACATAAATTTACAAGAAGTGTTTGTCAGTATCTCAGAGTCAAGACTACACCAATAATTAGGCAATCATTTTATAATTTAGTGTAACTGGGTATATACTCATCTTTCACTAATAATAACCCAAATTTCAGTTTCTTTGTCTTCATTATTTCTTATTAATTTATTATAATAATTCAATTTTGACAGTAAACATACAGCAGAGCTACATCATACATACAATTTGTTATCTGAGAGAGGGGATAATATTTATAACTTATACCCAACAGTCGAAGAGTTGAATCTGGAAAAAAAAGTAGAGAATCTGATCGAAGGGCAGCCTTACTGCAAATAAACACAGCCATTACTGTGTGGTGTTTGTATCAGGGCTGCTGTGTTCTGGATCACTGCTTCAGCTATCCGCGGCCTCAACCGCCGCGAGACTGCGGCTGCCGGTTCGCTCTCTTACACCGTGCTGACACCTAGCAGTAAGTGCGTTCTGCGTGTCACATATTCATATAATAGAGAACATTCCCTAGAGCCACAGGAAATGTAACCCCCTCCATCAATAGCTAGGAGAGTAATTTTCAAATCTGTGTATATTTTCTAAATCTAGATCAAGTAGACAGGAGAGAAGTATTAACCTCTTGAACACCTACGCATGTGATACTATTTATTTTTTCATAAAGGGAAAGTAATTTTCTTCTGAAGTGCACTTATCTTTTCTTGCTTGAATGATGTGTCTCAGATCTTTTGAGTACAACACTCTGTTCAAGGGGTTAAGGTATGAGAGGAGAGTTAAGACATTTCTGAAAACCAATACAATTATATAGCAGAAATACATAATAGTAGACTGCTATTCAGTCTGTTAATGCAAGTCATAAATACAATCTGCAAATTCAAAACAAGTTTGAAGTGTCTAATTTTTACTGCTTCTCAAACCAGGTTTCTCTGTGTGAAAACTAAATTAAATTTTAAATTAAAATTGAAAATTGGAATTAATGTTAATTACTAATCTGTACATAAGAGTCTTTTAATCAATAACCATTTACAAGATTTAAAATACATTCAGTGATCATACATTCAAATTAAAAACAATAAACACTTAAAGGTACTTAATTTATTTACTGTAACATAGAAAATTCATGCATAAATGACTATTTATTTAATTAAAGTCGTGCTAATGCCATTTTTAGAAAACGATTGTGATCAACATAACTTTTATCATTAAGAAATAACACATTTTATAATACAGGTTTCCATGATTTACATTTGCAGCCAGGAACGTTTATGTTTTTAGACCTTTAGTTATTCAAAGGTAAAAGTCTTCACATATAAACAGTCACAGATACTTATGACATTTTAAGATTGTATTAAAAATTTATAATTTACTCAATAATAAATTACTTTTGGAGTTGCTATTGGAGGACAAAAGAGCTTAGCATTACTAAGGAGCCATGGATTCCTGATTTGTATTTATGCTAACTCAGTAAGTCTGTATATAACAGTTTTAACCGGACATACATGATTACCTTTTACAGTGCAGTTGTGTGGACATCACATTTTTGTACAAACTTTTTTGGCAAATTTTATTTTATGTCATCATTTAATTGATTGTTTAGTGCATGAGTTAAGAAATGCAAGTTGTTGAACTACTTTGTAGCAGCTCTTTATGAATATCCTTCAAATTTGTAAGTATAATAGTATTAATCTTCCTCTTACAATGGTGAGGTTCTGAAAATCATTAAATGGTAGGGATTATCTAAGAATAATGAAAATCTCTCAACAGAGGAAGGATTACAGAATATCTGCTTTTGAGTGAACTAATACAGTACTTGCTGTGACTCTAGGGAAATGGTGTTTGACCGAAAACGTTGCCAAGAACAATACCTACATTGCTTTGACTGTTGTAAACATTATTTTAATGCACATTACTTGAAACATACATTTGAAACCACTGGAACAGTTGTTTGCACTGTTACCTGCATTGCACCTATTGTGCATTTTAGCAGTTCCTTGTTTGTTCACTTGTTTTATTTGTAGATCTAGCCGGTAAAACTCACAAAGCTTTATGATATGCTTTCTTAAATTCTTACTACATGACTGCTTTACACCTTTCTATATTAGTATTCTGTAGAATTAGTTTGATTGCGTACATTAGATAAACTCTTAGTTACAGAACATCATGCTTGGCAAGCCTGTTGGTGTAAAAGAATAAAGGTGTTTTACCTAACTACAGTGTCATTGTCTTCATTACACATTGTTAGTTACCCCATCAGAGGAAAATATACTATACTGTGACATCAAGGGGGGGGGGGGGGGGGGGGTCT